TATCCATGAGGTTCTCTTACAATAAAAATACCACTTGTATGTTGTGGAAGCAATTGCTGATCACTGTTTTAGTCTGCATGAAACTTTCCATGAGAAATTTGGTGAACAAAAGGCTATGATTATTTTTGCCTTATATAATCCTTCTGTGTCTCTGAGTGCAAACTCTATTTACTTAATATCCAGGCTGATGCAACCGGGGCAAAAGCATAAACAGAATCTCTCCTTCTCTGTCTTTATTCTTTGCTCTGGCAATGTGGCAGCGAAAGAAAGGCTTTGGTAGGAATCAGCCCTCTTGTGAGCTTTTGCACAGATCTGCTACAAGTCATGTTCACAAAGCAACAGGTGGATTTACGTGTTGTGTTGATACTGTGGAACTGACCGCGTTCCTCTTCTGATGTGATGTTTCTCTCTCTCTCTCGTTCCCCCTGCTACTCCTTCAATTTTCACATGAAGCTTTCTCTCAAGCTGGTAAGCACAATTATTCCATGCATGCCCTGAATCGAATCAGGTTTTGTGGGGGGTGTCTTGTTGGGGCTTTGCCACGGGCAACACATCTTCAAAGTTAACTGTTGATTTGCGTTGCCCTTCTATGTGCTTTCCTTGGTGTTTCTTTATCAGATCTTTGGGATACAAAGGTCCAGAATCTAACAGAAGCCATCCTAATCTTTTCACATTGCTAAAAAAATTAATGCTTAACTCCTAATTTGGTTTTCTTTGTTTTGGGGGCCTTAAGAGGATGGCAAAGGAGGATAAACTGTATCTATAGATGTACATAAGTAGAAATATTAAATACTGGGGAATTTATTTGTTGGGTCATTTTGAATAAAAGTCTATTTAGTCACTGAAAGATGCTCTCCCTGGGAGCCATAGGAACAGATGAAAATGCTGGGAATCTGAGGAAGGCACGCAGGGCTGTGCCGATCTCAAATTCGGTCTGAGGCAGCCTGCAGGAACCGGAAACCATGACATCTTAAGGCGCTACCTAAATACAGGCCGCCTTGTGCTCTGCTGATTCAAGAAACCACTGGATGACTTTACGGATTGTGAAAAGAGCAAAGAGCAGGGCTCTAGAAGGATTTGCTTGGTGTCCTGGGTTGTTTCCACTTAACTGTATCACCCTAGTCACCAGTCCTACTAATCATTAAATTTATTAAACAAAACTCAACCACGTAACCCATAACCATCCTTTAAATATATGTAAGTTACGTAGAGTTCTCAGACACCACAGCTGAGACTACCCTAAATTCTGGACAGAGATAACCATGAAGCTTTCTTTCAAGCTGGTAAGCACAAGTATTCCATGCATGTCCTGAATCGAATCAGGTTCCGGGGGTGTGTCTTGTGCGGGCTTCGCCATGTGCAACACGTTTGCAAAGCTAACTGGCAGTTCAGCCAGGACTCAGGTCAGCACTTCATCCACTGCTGTCGACAAGCAGCACAGGATAACATTTCTCTGTGTGTAAGGACATAAATATATGTATATACATGACTTTTCAACCTGACTCAGTATTTGGCCACTGACCCAACCCTAAAGAAAATGAGTATTTTATACAACCAAACATTTCTTAGACTGTGAAATAAAATCCCCAGAGGAGGCCTTGGTAAAGGTGTACAAGGGGGAAAGGGATATCGATGCCTAAGTGAACTGTCTCCACAGCAGAATGAACTTGGGAGAAATTGGGTCGGTTTTCCAGGAGTCTCTCAGATGCCAGGGTGTCTTCCTTGCCCTTTATTTGCTCTTCTGCTGAAGTGCCAGCAGTAAAAGATAATATTATTAGGCAGTCTTTCTGTTTGAAACAGAAATCATTTTACCAACCTGGTAGTGAACTGTTGCTTTAGACCATTACTCTGAAGCTAATAGAGAAGTGAAGTGTCACACAAAGATGGCTTGGATGTAAAAACAGTAAAATCTCAAGCAGCAGCTCATGCGTGGGCTACTTGGGAGGAGTAAGTGTTGGACTGTTGAAGCATGTGAAACATCCTCTCAGAGCCATATATACATATATGTGTGTCACCCCCTCTTTCAATACCAGTGCCACCTGCTAAGGCCAGTCTTATAAGTTGGGCTGCTCCAAAGAGCTCAGGAAATCGATTCAAAGCTAGTAATAAAAATTTCCTCGTGGCAAAATGAATCATAGGTCAGAGTACTGTTTAAAAGAATTCGGGCTTCAAAAGGCTACTGTTGGACAAGATGATCTTTTAGTACTTCCAGAAACCTTACGTTTCTTTGGATCTAGAGGAAGCTATATAGACCGGAATCACCAGTGGCCCCGTGCAGTTTATTTGAGGCATAATTACTGGGATTAGATATTAAATAACACAGAAACATAGATTATCTAGTGAAAGAGAACTAACTCATTAAACTAACGCCTGATCAATTGAAGACCATGCACTTATTATTTAATCGCTTTAGTTTTGTAAATAGGGTTGAATTCTTTGCTGTTTAGGATATCCATTCATAAGTCATAAGTACAGTGTGTTTTACAGATTTCTTTGTAGCTGTTGATACAGCTCTTCACCACCTACACCTGTGTGGCCCAGCATGGCAGCCACTCACCACATGTGGCCATTTATACTGTCACCAATTAGAATTAAATAAACTTGTAAGTTCAGCTCCACAGTTACGCAGCCACATTTCCACCGCTCAGTAGCCCTGTGTGGCGTCTGTATTGGACGTGCAGATATGAGAACATCACCCTCATCGTAGAAAGTTCTTTTGGACACATAGCACATAGTGACACACAATAAATAATAATGAATTAGCATTGACCACTTACTAGATTTCCTGACTTCTGAGCACTGTATCTTATGCTGTTTTGTGGTATTCCAACATAAATAAAAAGATAATAAAAAGAAACCCTCAATTCTAGAAAATAAGCTGATCCAAGTAAATTCAGCACGAGAACAGAGTAGCATGCTGTCAGGCCCCAGGACTGAACAGAGCAAATCAAAAAACTCGTACCTACGGTTTCAAGCATTGTAACACGATAGTACGTGGGCGAGAGAAAACAAGCCGGATCTATTCCTAAAGAGAAGAGTAGTTCGCTTCATCTTAGTTTTAGAGGCAAACTGAACGCCCTTGGTTTGGCATTAGGGAAACTCACATTCTGCTTTCACTTAAATCTTATCTCTTCCCACACATGCATGCATGCGCACGCGCGCGCACACACACGGGTCTTTGTGAGAACATTAGCTGAGAGGTCTTTGCTTGGCCTCCGTGGTAAACTATTTGCTGCATTGCACGCTTCCCGCACAGCAGCCCGGCATCTTGGCATTAGCAGCCGCGGGACTTCAGTCACAAGCCCCCACGGGAGCCGCTTGGCAAATTCAGCTTGATTTTGGAATTACATTATGCAGGTCCCTTCATTTCGACCCACTCCCAAGCCAGGCTTGCCTTTGTTTAATTGGTTCTAAAATAAAATCGCTTTTCTAAATTCCCTGGCCTATCCCTGGCTACTGTGTAAATTTCTCATTCTTAATGAAAATAGGCTCATTCCAGTAAAAGCTGTTGATAACCCCAGCTTAGCCACAGCTTCTAACAAGTAAGCATATGTAAACGTCTGGAAACTCAACGCTGGTGTTTTCTACCTCAATGGCCTGCATGGAGGGAAGACAGCAATTGGCTTTGACAGGGAATCAAGATACCAAAATGCACTTCTTCTGATTGGATTCTGGATTGAGAACAGCTGAGGTTGATTCCCTAGGTCTGGGAGTCGGTTTGGAGGTCAGGCAGGGCATTCTGCAGGAATTTTCTGAGCTTGCTCCAAAAGCTGTGAAAAGGAAGTGACCAGACTTTTCGAGGCAGCAGGGCGGGGTGGAGAGGGCATTTTCACAATGTCCTTTTCACCTGCATTCTCTGTGGGACTGGACGTCCACCTGGCATTTCCCTGGCATTTCACAGGCTCTTCTCAGCCTGTGAAGAGGTGGGAAGGGATGCTCAGGCTTGGGGGGAAGCAAGGCTGGGGCCTGATCACTGTGGGGTGTGAAGAAAACATAAACTTCAAACTGCCTTAAAACAGCACTGTTCCCACCGACACTGATGGTAAAGTGGAGAACAGGCCTCAAAATGTGCTATTCGCGGATCCTCATGGGAATCAGACGCATTTCTTCCTTTCCTCTTGCCACGCTGCCCTCCTGGCCTTTCCAGAGCGCCTCGGCCAGGGTAATTGGAATAGGAGCTGTGGAACTAGTGCAGTGTGTGTGCATTCATTTTGCATCTCAGCTGGGTGTCGTGGGAAAGAGCGTAATTTATTTCCTGAAAACACATGCAGACGTTTGCATCCCCCCCGGTGTCCGGGAATCTTCCCTGCTGCTTGCTTTGTTATCTTTTCTCAAGGGGCACCGGGAGGCTCTGGCTGACGTATGCTTGCATCTACAGGGTGCGACACCAGAGGATTTCAGCAACCTCCCACCCGAACAGAGAAGGAAAAGGCTGCAGCAGAAAGTCGATGAATTAAATAAAGAGATGCAAAAGGAGATGGATCAAAGGTACAGTGGATCTCTAGGACTTACCAAGAAATTCAAGCTCACGCTGATGGACTGGCCGCCACGGGGGGGATGAGGGCTGGATGATGCGGGTGAATGCTGAACCACGGTGTTGTGTATGTGAAACCATCGTAAGATTGTATAGCAATGATACTTTAAAAAAGAAGAAAGAAAGAAATTCAAGTTAGCTTGGAAAGGTAGGAAATCCTAAAATAGATTTTAACGTGATTATTTCAGCTGTGTATTTTGTCACAGTCTACTGGATTGCTTTAGTAGAATCCTTGTAACAAATAGGTTTTATTCTGAATTTGGAGAACACAGCACATATGGCTATCTGTTTTGCCATGAACGTAGGGTGAGTTTTTGGTCCAACGAGGAAGAGAAAAGTGGCCTGACTGCCACCCTCTGCCTTGCCCCATATCCTAGCTTTGGGTCCAGAAGGTACTTGTTTCTTTCTCTTTGAGGAAAAGTAAAGATCAGCCTTCCCACAGGTTCTCATGCCTTCTGATCTTTGTAGAGAGTGTATCTGATGGTGCCTAGAAAACAGATCACAGTGTGTTATTATACTTATGACAGTGTAATACTTAAAAAACCTACCACTAGCCCGTAGGGGTGTCAGTATTCGCCTGCTCGTGAGAAGCCTCTGCATTAGGCTCCCACTGCAGCGGTTCTGGGCTTCCTGACGTGCTTTGTAATTTTGATCTGGGGAGGGTAGGTTGGTGTCTGTGAAAAAGGGAAGGAAGGGAGGGAGGGAGGGAAGACTAGATCTGCTCTTTGCATTTGTGCTTCCCTTCCCACAGTGATAAGCTACGCCACTCACATCACTCAGGGCATACTTGCTAAGAACCCTCAGTGAAAAGCCACTTGATTGTCACTCAGCTTATATATTCTCACTGGGTGAATTAGGTGAATCCTTCACTTATTGGAGATTTCCTGAAGTTACCGTGAGAGTTGAGGCCTCACAAATAGGCCGAATGGTGACCCAGGTAAACTGAGTTACACTGAAGCAGGGGGTTAAAATTTGGTTATGCGAAAAGCAGGGGAACAAACAAGCAGAACTTGGGGGACTGCTCAGCTTAAGGACAAGCGAAAGGAGAGTAGATTTTTATTCTTTCACCTCTTTCAAAGGCCCTCCTGAGAAACAGGTTGTTTTATAAACATTGTTATAGTGTATAATGTATAAAAAAATAAGAGCACATATTGTTAACTTTATTTTAGTTTCCTATGAGACATGTACTTCATGAAATGAAAATTTTATCTTTGTACTTTTTAGGACATGCAGGGCCAAATATAAAAGGGTTTATAAATGTATAAACCATTTAAAATTTGTTTGATAAGTGAGCAGTTATATTTTGTACAGGAGTAAGAGGTTATGACTGGAGTATCCAAAAAATTATTTCATAGGTTGTTGACCGACTCTTTCTAATTGTCCAACATCATGTAGAAAACTGTCGCTCGGGTTGTGGCCCTGGAACCTGGGTCATATTTTAATCCCACTAGCAGCCCTTGTATGTAAGTGTTTAGGGCAATGACTTAATGAACTGGTTATTGAGCACTTACTGTGTATAAGGAAATATTCTAGGCACCGAGGCTAAAGCAGTGCTAAAACATACGTACAAACATCTGTTCTCATGCAACCTATATTTTGTACAGGAGGGACAGAAAATAAAAGATTTTGAGCAGAGTTCACATGATCTGGAAACTTTTTTTTTTAATTAATTCAAAAAGGGTAAGAAAGGAAATGATCTACGGAATAGGCAGGGCAAATCAAAAGCACGAAGTGAATGGCAGATTTAAAATTCCAGGCGCTCTAGAAACCTTGGGTTCAAATCTCAGTCTGCCTGTTTGCGTTGAAGGCCTTGGACAAGCGCCCTAGTCTCTTGGTACCTCAGTTTCCTCATCTTGAAAAGGGATAAATATGCCCTATTTGTGTGAGGATTAAATGTCAATGTATGTAAGTGTTTAGGCCAATGAGTGGCACATAGTCTTTGTAAAATAATAGGTTCGGTGTAAACAGACCGCACATTCCAATTACATTTTCAGACTGGACAGAAAACCAAAACCCACCTGTCTGCTGTCTGCAAAAGACACAGCTCACTCATAAGGTGTAGGGTGGTTGGAAAGCTCACCAGTGCCAGCCAAAAGAAAACTGGTGTGACAGGCGGACTTTCTGGGCCCACAAGCCAAACTACTAAGCTCGGGGGCATCAATTCCATAATAATGAAAATGATTCAAATAACAAATTACTCGGTTCACCAAGAAGACATATACTTTCAAATCTGTGGGACCATAAATAATAGCGTAACTCCAAAACAGAGGAGGCCGTGCTAGCGGCCCTTGGATGGATGTAGGTACAGGACATACATAAAGTACAGCATTTGAGTGGGAGAGTTGTAAAGCGAAATTAGGGGGCTGGGAGCCCAAGTGGATCGTGGGATCTGGTGAAGACGTGGCCTCAGAGCAGAGAGCCCATCAGAGCCCCCAGAGGGCGGCCGGCTGTGCGGACCCAGGTGCCAGGAGGTGGCGGGAGGGGTGGCGAGGACCCGGGGAAGTGCTCCCTTTTCCTTTTTGTATTTTCAGTTCAGCCACTTTGCGTGACTCAAGTGATGGTTTGGTTGGCGTAGATGTTCCTTTGCTGAAGCTCATTCAAGTCGGCTCGTCACCACTTCCAGAGTCATTCGCTCTAAACTTTAAACATCTCAGACCCCAGGAAAGTCCTTTGAAGCCAGAGTTGAAGTTAGCAGAGCTCTTGGGGCCGAGGCCTAATCTGCGCCGCTCCAGGGCCTCCCCACTCAGGCTGCCGTGGGTGGGCTTCCAAAACATGACTTCGGGAAGGGCGTGGAGCCTGCAGGATGTAGCTTTAGGGCGCTGTTGGCCGCCTGTCATGGATACCAACTGTGGGTTCGGTTTCTTAATAGTTGAGACAGTGTGTAATAAAATTTCCAAAGCAATTAACTGCTTCTTCATGAGGTAAACATATTGCAGCCTACAAAACCCAAGATGCCAGCTGCAGCTTTGGCTGTGTGAGGAACGTGCACAGGGAAATATTCGGGTTTTGTTTGTTTTTATGGGTGTTTGGTGCAAGGGGAGGGGCAGGATGGACTTACATTTCTCACTTGCTGAAGAAAATAAGGAGAGACCATTCAGAAAAGGAACTGAAATTTTGACATTGACCTCTGGATTATCCAGTTGTTGATAGCAGAATTCTTACAGAGAAGTTTTAGAAAGAAAGCAGACCCCAAAGCCCCCTTCTAATCCACGCGCTGATACAATCTTCCCACGCTCCCATCCACGTGGTTCTCAAGGTGGCGGGAGAATGTAATTGGCTGATGACATTAACCTGTTGGTAAAGGTGAATGTTCTGCTCGGTCTTTTTTTCAGAGATGCCATAACAAAAATGAAAGACGTTTACCTAAAGAATCCTCAGATGGGAGACCCAGCCAGTTTGGACCACAAATTAACAGAAGTCAACCAAAATATAGAAAAGCTTCGACTAGAGGCTCAGAAATTTGAGGTATGAAAAAGCTGCTGCTGAAACACTTTGCTGGAAAATAAAAAGCAGCAGAAGGAATAGGTGCCACGAAGTGTATGTTGTGAATGCCCGGCCATTATCTCAGTGTATCAGAAAGACAGTTAAAATTGATTGAACTATGTTGTTCTTTCAAAGGACCCATTTTCAAAAGGTGAAAAACACTGGGACACACAAATTTTAAATGAGTAGGAAATATAAATAATAAATATTTTGAGAGGGGGAGCATTCAAAAGCCATTGGCTTCTTTTTACACCCACATTTAAAGACTGCAGAGCATGGAAAAAGGAATTAGTAACTCATCATTCTAACCAGAATAGGTTCTTTCTAGCAATGAAGGGT